CTACAAATATGAAAACAGCTCAGAAGCTCAAAGATTGATGACAAAACCTGCAAAAGAAAGAAAAAAAAATGAATGTCATTTATCTAGTGTGTCATAAAAATAGATCTTAATCTTACCTGCCTCCTCTTCATATTTCCATTTTTTTGCTAGTTTTAACATAGTAAAGGTAATTAAACTATGACAAAAGTCATAGTAAAGTTTGAAGTTGTAAATTTGTATTTAAGAAAGAAGTGTGTTTTTTCCCCCACAAATTATACACACCGAGGTGGATACAGCATTGATCTGATGCTGCATCTGTACCCTGCCGGCTCATGACCACTGATCGTTCCCACCGCCGCTGTGATCAGAGAGTGGTGACTGTCAGTCACCGCTCTCTGCTCTGCCACCCCCACCCAGTGGTGTATTTAGGTTCTGTGCAGTCCTAGGCAACACAACATCCCCCCTCCCCCCATGGAGAGAGCCTGACATTGATCAACAACACCCCTGTCCCCCCACCTGAGAGAGCTTTCCGCTACTGTCGCCCCCATACACCGGCCACTCCCCTCCCAGCGAGAGATAGAAAGACACTCACCTTCACAGCTCTGGACATCCCCAGGAAGGAGATTCAAGCAGCCCACAGCCTCTCCCACCTAGTTCCCAAGCCACATGTGTCCTTTCTTCCATCCCCTCTTCCAGGGGGGCGGTGCTGTCCCCCTGAAAAATTCTGCCCTAGGCAAATGCCTTGTTTGCCTTGCTTAGAATATGCCCCTGCCCCCACCCCCACCCCCATGCTCACTGGAGCGCTGGGCTGTGGATGGAGCGGCTGGCTCAGGCTCGCAACAGATCGCTGAGAAGCTGATGGTCAAGAATTTATGTCCTTTGCCTCTGAAAGACCAATACACTCAACAGTTGACTCTAGCTGGTGTTTTCATTACTCCATTTTCCATTACCTTTCTTATACAGATAGTTCAGCTTCACCAAAGAACTGCCTATGCAGGTAAGGGGATAAAAACAAACCGTGTGTCTCTGACTAAAGTGTATAAATGTCCTTGCTATAGGTGTAGGCCATTTATGTACCACATGAAGCCTGGCTGGAGTACTCCTAGGATATTGCTAAGTACTTCCAGAACATTGCTATGTGGGGCCTAGTCATTACTGCTCACCCCCACCATCACAGGAGTGAGCTTTTTCTCTGATTCAGACCCCCTCACATGTGCTTTCTGTCCCCTAATGCAGTAGATTCAAGTAGATCCAAGCACAACATTTGAGAGCTCACTCCTGTGATGGTGGAGGTGAACAGTAATGACTAGGCCCTAGGCCCTAGGTGAACAGCAGTGTCCTAGGAGCAGGGGCGTACCTAAGGTTGGTGTCACCCGGTGCCGGAACACTTGGTGACACCACCTCTCTCTCTCCCTCTCCTCTCTGCCCTCTTTCTCCCTCCTCTCTGCTGCCCTCTTTCTCCCCCCTCTCTCTCTCTCTCTCTGCCCTCTTTCTCCCCCCCCCCTCTCTATCTCTCTCTGCCCTCTTTCTCAACCCCTCTCTATCTCTCTCTGCCCTCTTTCTCCCCCCCCCTCTCTCTCTGCCCTCTTTCTCCCCCCCCTCTCTCTCTGCTCTCTTTCTCCCCCCCCCGTTCTCTTTCTCTCCTCCCTCTCTCTCTGCCCTCTTTCTCTCCCCCCCCTCTCTCCCCTCTCTCTCTCCCCCCCCTACCTACTACATGAAGCTGCAGTGCTGTCACCAGGGTCCAGGGATTACACACTGACCTGCTGCATACTCTGCCCGCCCCTCCAACTCTCCGACTTCAGCACCCGTGGCAGGGATGTGGACCCGCCCCTCTGCTGAGGTGTCCGAAGTGCCTGCCTCACTGTCCATCCCCTCAATGCTTGCTTATTTCAGCAGCGGCACATACAGGGATGGACTGAGCCTCTCATGGGGCCCTGTAGTGACCCTGGGCCCACGGTCAGTCCGCCCCTGGTGAAGCGGGTCCGGTGTCTCCCTGTGCAAAAGGTGTCACCCAGTGCAGCACGCACCCCCCTGCACCTGCCTAGGGACGCCCCTGCCTGGGAGTATTCTAGTCAGGCTTCATGATATCCATAAATGGCCTACACATGTAGCAAGAGCATTATTCAACTTTAGTCAGTGACACACAGTGTATTTTTATCTACAGGCACTCATGATCTGCATAAGCAGTTTTTTGGGAAAGGTGAACAATCCTTTTAAATAAAGAATTAAAGTGATACTAAAGGTTAATTTTCTTTTTTTTGTAAAATAACAAACATATCTATACTTACCTGCAGTGTGCAGTAGTTTTGCACAGAGCAGCCTGGATCCTCCTCTTCTCGGGTCCCCCGCAGGCTCCCCTCCTTTCTGTCGGGGTGCCCCCATAGCAAGCAGCTTGCTATGGGAACACCCGTTGCTCTGTGTGTCCATTCACACACGGAGCCATGGTTTGCCCCGCCCCCTCTTTATCCTCATTGGCTAACTGGCTGTGATTGACAACAATGGGAGCCAATGGCTTGCTGTCTCAGCCAATGAAGAGGCAGAGACCTGGGATAACCGAGGCTGTTGTGTACATCGCTGGATCTCGATGGGACTCAGGTAAGTCGGGGGCTGGGGACACTGCTGCATACAGAAGGTTTTTTACCTTCATGCATAGAATCCTTGAAGGTAAAAACCTTGAGCCTTTACAAACACTTTTTAGAAAAAAAACAAAAAAACAAATGTAAAATACCTGCAGTTAGTTCCGTCTTCCTTCATTCGCATTCTTCATTCCTTTACAGATCAGCACAATTGCAGCAATGACACCACACATTCCGTAAAACAGACCCAGACCGCAGATCACATTCTCATAGGTCTCAGAAACTGGCTTGGATACATCTGGATCTGTCATAAGGGAACACAACAAACAGGTTTTAAAAGTTTTAAATTAATTATTCTAAAATATTGATCATAAAGATACACAAATCAAAATCAATTTATGTTTATCAAATCCTGTAGAACAGGGGTGTCAAACTCCATTTCATCGTGGGCCATATCAGTATTATGGCTGCCATCAAAGGGCCGGTTGTATCTGTAAGACTAGATGTCCACAGCACCCCACTCCCCATTACATCAGATATCAAGAATCCCATTCAGTCCTGGGCTCTCCTGTTTGGCAGAAGGCAGCGAGAAGAAGGAACCACCTTCTGCCCCATGCCCTGAGCGGTTCTACAGCTGCTCGGATTGTGTTTACATTATTCAATATCATCGGAATAAACATTGATACCTGAGTCATGACTGCAGCTTTAGCCATGTTTCGGGTATAACCACTTCAACCTGAGGACATATGGGTGTGTCCTACGGGTGGGAAGTTGTTATGCCATTGCCTAATTTTAGGTACTGTAGTTTGTCACCATTTTGCAGAGGCAAACAATTTCGAGACTTGACATGTTTGGTATCTATTTACTTGACAGAACCTCATATTTTATATTTTACAAAAAAGTGGGTATTATATTTTGTTTGTGTGTACTAAAATTTATTTTAGTGTATTTTTTCCTGAAAATTTGTGTTTGATAAATGGCTGTGCAAATGATATGTGACACAAAAACTTCATATTCATACTTTCTGAGATGGGAACAAAGGACACCCTATTAGCTAAAGCAGCCTTTCTCAACCAGGGTGCCTTGACACTTCTTCAGGGGTGCCTTGACACTTCTTCAGGGGTGCCTTGGAAAAATGTCCAAAAATTGCCCAAAACTTGTATACAAGTCAGCGGGTGGAATAAGCCTGTCTTTTAGTTACACAAAGCCACAGGTTTTCATAGTGCACCATTACAACCCTCTAGCCGCCAGCATCCTGACAACCAATGGCATCATCAGTTGATAAGGAGGACGTTTGTCATCTGCACAGCATCCTAGTTTGCCCCTCCCCTGCCCCTCTCCATCAGTGCTGGGGTCACATTAGCTCAGATGGAGAAAAACTGAGGGAGAAGAGAAACACTGGCATACTAGTCAGTACCAGTGTGCAAAAGTGTATTTGCTTTGGAAGAATAAATCACCTCTAATGTTGGGTGTCCTACATGTGTGGATGTTGCTGCGTTATATAAAACTATTAGAATAGTTTTTCACATTTTAGAATGGGGTGCCTCAGACTGTTCATAATTTTAAAGGGTGCCTCGGAACTGTCAATAATTGTAAAGGGTCCCATGATTGAAAAAAGGTTGAGAAACACTGAGGTAACGTATGTAAGAATAAGACACACACCCTGCCACACCCCCCTTTAAAGGAGAATTGTACAAAAAAAATTTTTTGGTTAAACTCATAAGTGCTTTTTTTTCCCTACCACTAGTATTCCTTTATATTTGACATTAACATTTACAAAGGCAGCAATTTAGAAACTGTCTGAAAGGTTTAGCACTGTAAAACACTTTGTGATACATAAATCGTGCATTTTATATGCAACTCTATAGATCAAACCAAAATGAGGGACAAATGAGGAGGAAGGAAGGACAGAGGGACCTTGTTCTAAACCAGGGACAGTCCCTCAAAATCAGGGACTGTTGGGAGCTATGCATATTCCCTAAGACCTCTGCTTTAAAAATAACAAAAACTGATAATTGGGGGGTTTCGAGTAATATTATTTTAAAAAAAAATGCTGATTTTAACATTTCAGGTACTTATATATAGCGCCGTCCATTTAGGCAGCGCTTTACATATATATAGTACATTCACATCAGTCCCTAACCCTCAAGGGGCATACAATCTAAGGTCCCTAACTCACATTCATACATACACATACTAGGGCCAATTTAGACAGGATCCAATTCACCTACCAGCATGCCTTTGGAGTGTGGGAGAAAAAACCACGTAGGAAGAACATGCAAACTGCAGGCAGGTGGTGCCGTGGTTGGGATTTGAACCAACAATCCTAGTACTGCCAGGTGGAAATGCTAACCATTTAGACACTGTGCTGCCCAGTGGAAAAATTTTAAAATGGGCCTGGACTGCAAGTGGTTAAATGACAAATCTGGTTTTACTGAGTAACTATTACTTACACCAGAACTTGTTGGTGGGGTTGGTGCTCTGTCCAGCGTGTTCCACAGAACAGGTGTACACTTCTCCCTCCCGTGGGATGGTAGTTAAGTACAAGAACTTGCTGAATGATCCATCAGGTGCGGGGTAGAAGTCTGTCTCTGACACTCCTTCTGTCACAAGGTGATTGTCCTTGTGCCAGCTCATCTTGATCACTGGGGGAAAGAACTTAGTACCCATACAGATCAGTATATTAGGCTCACCCACAATCACAGGGTTTTCAGGGAATACATGAAGTTCAGGAGCAACTGCCAGGAAGAACAGAATATTATGGATTAGCATTAGTGACAGATGATGAACAGTTATATGCATAGTTACATAGTTCATCTTGTGATAAACACTCTTCAGGGAAAGATCAGTCTTCATCAAATTCTCCATCAAAAAGTCCTCAGTGAGTCCCGTCGCCATTTAAATTCGACGTCAGCACTCTAACTCCATCCAATGCATTTCATGCTCTAGAGCAGGGATGCCAAACTAGTGGTCCTCCAGCTGTTGCGAAACTACAAGTCCCATCATAGCTCTGCCTTTGGTAGTCATGCTTGTAACTGTCAATCTTGCAATGCCTCATGGGACTTGTAGTTTGGCAACAGCTGGAGGGCCGCCAGTTTGATACCCATGCTCTAGAGCATCTAGCTACAGAGTGAAACGCGTTGGGTAGAGTTGAAATCATCAAAGCCACATGTCTGGATGTGGCGGCTATAGTTGTGGATACTGTTTGTTTGTTTTATCCTGTTTGCTTTTAATATTTAAATAAATACTACACTATACACCTCTGTTTTGGTTCTGCATTTGTTCTATACAGTCCTACTGATTGTTTGGAAGCTCATATGTGACATCAACTCTGGCCGGTGCTGCACCAAGATGTTTTCTCCTTAAGAGTGTTTGCTGTGGAGATCTGGTGACTGATATTGTACCTGTTTGTTGTTCATATGATGTACAGCCATTTGTTCTGGTGAGTGCATTGGACTAGTGGTGGTACAACATGTGTAGATTCATATATAGTTTTAATTAGGTCCACTTTATTCAATCTTTTTATATACAACCTACTACACTATATATACTATTTCACTTTTGGGGAGCATTTGTCCCCCTGCTTCTAGTCTTGCCATCTATTTACCACTTCCATGGAGGGATTACTCTAGTGGTTGCCATCTCTAAAGAGCCATTCCCTTTAAGGAGTTCTTCCAAAGAATTCAATCTACTGGGAAGGATGTGGTTGAGCTCAATTTGCTACCTATAATTTAACTCTCTGGTGAGTGCATTTGAGTGGTGTTGGGACTCATTGAGGACTTATTGGTGGAGAATTTGATATTCACTGAAGAGTGTTTATCACTAGATGAACTGTTATTACCAGATTCTCTTTAATGGATAGACTCTTTGTATGTGCTTATGTTAACTTATGACACTTGCTCACATACACTGCTCAACAAAATTAAACACTTTTTAATCAGAGTATAGCATCAAGTCAACTCCTGGGATATCGATCTGGTCATTTAATTAGCAGAGGGGGTTGGTAATCAGTTTCAGCTGCTTTGGTGTTCATGAAATTAACAACAGGTGCACTAGATGGGCAACTGTCAGGAATGGACTTGCCAGTGGTGGTGGGACTCACCTGCCTTGTGGGCTGCAGTACCAGGGCTGGCCAGCGGGTGCTCTGAGCAACCAGAGGCTCACTCCTGCAACGAGCCATCACCTGAGGCTGATTACAGCAGGTGTATTTAAGGAATGGCCAGGCCTGTGATCAGGGCCTTGGTGTATGTTTCCCATGAGCCCCTGTACCTGCATCCTGTCTGCTTCCTGCCTGATCCTGATTCTGCTTTAATCCTGACTTTGCATGAACTCTGCCTGTCCTGACCTCGGCTATTCCTGAGTACGCTTCCGCCTGCTCCTTGTACCTTGCCTGCCCGTTTGCTACCGACCCGGCCTGCCCGACTACGTTTAGTATTGTTCTTATTGTTATCTGTTGGAGGTTTGGTTGCACTGTGTTTATGTTTAGTCTTGCACTGCGTTTATGTATTGTTTAGTCTTTAATAAATTGTATTGTTTATACTATACCTGGAGCCTGTGTTTCCCTGTGTCAGTCCACACATTTCTGGTCATACCCGGATCCCTAACAGCAACAATGAGATGACCCACAAAACAGGAATGGTTTTACAGGTGGGGGCCTCTGGCATTTTTTTCCCTACTCATCTTTTCTGACTGTTTTTCACTAGTTTTGCATTTGGCTAGGGTCAGTGTCACTACTGGTAGAATGAGGCAATACCTGGACCCTACAGAGGTTGCACAGGCAGTCCAACTCCTCCAGGATGGCACATCAATACGTGCCATTGCCAGAAGGTTTGCTGTGTCTCCCAGCACAGTCTCAAGAGCATGGAGGAGATTCCAGGAGCCAGGCAGTTACTCTAGGAGAGCCAGACAGTGGCAAATAAGGTCCTTAACCCTTCAGCAGAACCGGTATCTTCTCCTTTGAGCAAGAAGGAACAGGATGAACACTGCAAGAGACCTACAAAATGACCTCCAGCAGGCCACTGGTGTGAATGTCTCTGACCAAACAATCAGAGGGAACAGACTTCATGAGGGTGGCCTGAGGGCACGACATCCACTATTGGGCCCTGTGCTCACTGCCCGGCACCATAGAGCTCGATTGGCATTTGCATTGGCATTGAACACCAGAATTGGCAGGTCTGCCACTGGCACCCTGTGCTTTTCACAGATGAGAGCAGGTTCACCCGGAGCACATGTGACAGACGTGAAAGGGTCTGGAGAAGCTGTGGAGAACGTTCTGCTGCCTGTAACATCGTTCAGCATGACCGTTTTGGTGGTGGGTCAGTGATGGTCTGGGGAGGCATATCCATGGAGGGACACACAGACCTCTACAGGCTAGACAATGGCACTCTGACTGCCATTAGGTATCTGGATGAAATCCTTGGGCCCATTGTCAGATCCTACGCTGTTGCAGTGGGTCCTGGGTTCCTCCTGGTGCACGACAATTCCCTGCCTCATGTGCATGCAGGCACTTCCTGGAAAATGAAGTAATTGATACCATTGAACGGCCCCCACACTCGCCTAACCTAAATCCAATAGAATAACTCTGGAATATCATGTTTTGGTCCATCCGACGCTGCCAGGTTGCACCTCAGAATGCCCAGGAGCTCAGTGATGCCCTTATCCAGATGTGGGAGGAAATCCCCCAGGACATCATCCGTCATCTCATTAGGAGCATGCCCTGACATTGTCAGGCATGCATACAAGCACGTGGGGGCCCATGCAAACTACTGAGTACCATTCTGAGTTGCTGCAATTAAATTTCAGCAAAATGGAGTAGTCTGCTGCATCATTTTTTCACTTTGATTTTTGGGGTGTCTTTGAATTCAGTCCTCTGTAAGTAGATAATTTCAATTTCCATCAAACGATGGGGCATCCTTACGCTCCTAACATGTTACCCAGTCCATATCAGTATTGAGATCAGTATTGAGATCCAGCAGGAGATTTTTCCCCATTGAGATCTGATGTGTTTTCAAAGTGTTCCTTTAATTATTTTGAGCAGTGTATTTTAAAAGCTGCACTTTTCTCACAGGTAATTTTATCATAGCAACTCAGCCACCAAGTGGTAGGCCACATAAAATGACAGAGCGGGGTCAGCGCATGCTGAAGCGCACAGTGCGCAGAAGTCGCCAACTGTTTGCAGAGTCAATAGCTAAAGACCTCCAAACTTGGTGTGGCCTTCAAATTAGCATAACAACAGTGTGTAGAGAGCTTCATGGAACGGGTTTCCATGGCCGAGCAGCTGCATCCAAGCCTTACATCACCAAATACAATGCAAAGCGTCGGATGTAGTGGTGTAAAGCACGCCGCCACAGGACCCTAGAGCAGTGGAGATGTATTCTCTGGAGTGATGAATCACGCTTCTCTGTCTGGCAATACGATGGACATGTCTGGGTTTGGTGGTTGCCAGAAGAATGGTACTTACCTGACTGCATTGTGCCAAGTGTAAAGTTTGGTGGAGGGGGGATTATGGTGTGGGGTTGTTTTTCAGGGGCTGGACTTGGCCCCCTAGTTCCAGTGATGGGAACTCTCAAGGTGTTAGCATTCCAAGACCTTTTTGGACAATTTCATGCTCCCAACTTTGTGGGAAGAGTTTGGGGATGGCCCCTTCCTGTTCCAACATGCCTGCACACCAGTGCACAAAGCAAGGTCCATAAAGACATGGAGGAGCGAGTTTGGGGTGGAGGAACTTGACTGGCCTGCACAGAGTCATGACCTTAACTCCATAGAACACCTTTGGGATGCATTAAAGCGGAGACTGTGAGCCAGGCCTCCTCCCCCGACATCAGTGCCTGACCTGACAAATGTGCTTCTGGAAGAATGGTCCAACCTTCCCATAGACACCCTCCTAAACCTTGTGGACGGCCTTCCCAGAAGAGTTGAAGCTGTTATAGCTGCAAAGGGCGGGGCCAACTCAATATTGAACCTTACAGAATGAGACTGAGAGGCCATTGCAGTTCATGTGTGTGTAAAAGCGTGTCCCAATACTTTTGACAATATATTGTATATAAAGATTAACTAAATCGGGGCTTGATTTGGTTTAGTGAGTATCAGTATTAAGCCCCTTTCACATGGGGCATATGAATCTGTGCCCCATGTCAGGGCCATATTTACCCACACAGGGATGTACAAGTGTTTTGCAAATCCCTGTGCACGCAGTCCTATTGTGAGAAATAGAGAGAGCAGAAGCAGAGAGAGCAGTATGTGTTGAGATGACCTGTCTTTTCTGGTTGTATTCACTATGGATCCCATCATGAGCATAGTGCGGCACGTTCTACCATTTATTCTTCATGCAAAACCTGGAACTGACTGCGCTGGTGTACCGGGTCCATTTGAATACATGGAAAATGCTTTGCATGCATTTCTGATGATGAAAAAAGGATCTGGGCATCATCTGGATATGGAACAGTTAAAAAAAAAAACGCTTATAAACGCAAACACTTATAAACGCGCTTAACCGTGTTTACAAGCGTTTGTCGTTTGAAACGCCGGTAAAATCTACTCCTGAATGCAAGTTTGGTGCGTTCAAAAAACGACTGTAAACTCAACTGCCTGTAAACGACGATGTGTACATGGACACATAGGAAAACATTAGGGAGAGTTCAGGGGCTGCTGAAAAAAACTCTGAACAGCTCCTGAATGTCAGTTTATCAGCTGCAGTGTACATGAGCCCTAAACAGGGGCGGACTGACAACTCATGGGGCCCCCGGGCAATAGGGGATCATGGGGCCCCTGTGTCCTTGCCCAAACTCAAAAAAGCCTATGAAAAAGGTACCAGGGGCATCTCATGGGGCCCCCTACTGACCCCGGGCCCTCGGGCAGTGCCCAAGTTTCCAAATGGTCAGTCCGCCCCTGGCCCTAAATGTCAAGTAGTAGTATAATAGCGTGACATTTAAAGCTGGGTCAATAAATATGAAAGTCGCTGGCATGTTCCTAGCTAATACACGTGTACAGTGCATTTCATACATAGAAAATGTTTTTTTTTTTTTACCATTTTTTGCTTCTGAGAAGTTTGACCGCTTCTTATAAATATCAAGATTAAATTTCAGCACAGCAATATTCTGCAGAGCTCCAGCTGCCTCAAAGCTGGCCACTTCACCAAATTGTGGGAGCCTCCACATGGTCTGCTTTTTATCCATGTCTACATAGAAGATCTCATCCTTGTCAAACTGAAACATGTACTCTCCTATCGGATCCTGTGCCTGGTAAAAGTTTGACTGCGTCAGAACATTCTCATCTGTGGAAGACAAACATCACATCATTAATTACATGGATATATTGGACCACTGCAGCAGTTAAAGTCAACCTGTAATCTTTTAAAGTGCTTAACCCCTCGCCCTCCAGAGGATTTACCCCCCTTCCTGACCAGGCCATTTTTCGCGATGTGGCACTGCGTTACTTTAACTGACAATTGTGCGGTCATGCAACGCCGCACCCAAATGAAATGTATGCCCTTTGTTTCCCACAAATAGAACTTTCATTTGGTGGCATTTGATCACCTCTCCGTTTTAAATTTTTTGCACTATAAACAAAAAAAAAGACCAACAATTTTGAGAAAAAAAAATATTTTTGACTTTTTGCTATTAACCACTTCAAGTCCGGACACTTTTACCCCCTTACTGCCCAGGCCAATTTTTAGCTTTCAGTGCTGTCCCACTTTGAATGACAATTGCGCGGTCATGCAACACTGTACCCATATGAATTTTTTAGCATTTTTTTGAGACAGATAAAGCATTATTTTGGTGGTATTTATTCACCGCTGGGATTTTTATTTTTTTGCTATGTAAATGAAAAAGTCCAAATATTTTGAAAAAAAGTGTTTTTCTTATAAAATTTTGCAAATAAATAATATTTCATCATAAATTTTGGCCAAAATGTATTGTTATCTTTTTAGTACAAAAAAAATGACCCAAATTAGTTTATAACCAAAAATTATAATTTTTAAACATTTTTTTTTACATTTTTATTTTATTTTTTTATATTATTATTTATGGGTTTTTTTTTATACATACTGTTACCCTAGCAGTACAGTGTCACCATGGTGACACTATACTACTTGTGGGGGGGGGGGGGGGGGGGGGTGATAAAGATTTTTTTTTTTTTACTGAAACTTTTACCATAAAGGCTGTAAAAGCAATCATTTCTCCTTCTCTCTGGCTGCATTCTTGCAGCCATTGAAAACTACTGTGTGAGCTGTGATTGGTAATAGCTTGTCACATGGTACAAGGCTGTTGATCATTCACAGATTTCACATGTAGTAAGCAATGATGTCAAAAGTGACATCTTACTTACTACTCTGCATGTGAATGCTGATTAGCCAATCAGCGATCACATGATCGGGACCTCGCAGGGAGGTCCCGTACGACAATCGGTGTTCCACTGTGTTCCACAGCGGGCACCAGATCGCGGTGCTGCACGCTCCCAGGGAGCGCGCACAATCAGGGGGTGGGGAGGCTGTTTATAAACGGCCATCCTACCCTGCACTGCCACTGTCCGGCCGTTTATATACATGGGCCGGACGGGAGGTGGTTAAACATGTCCAGTAAAAAAATTTTTAAAAATCAAATTTCATCATAAATATAGGCCAAAATGTATTCTGATCCATGTCTTTGCTAAAAAAAATCCCAATATGTGTAAACTAATTGGTTTATGTGAAAGTTATAGCGTCTGCAAATGGCGGTACATATACTGAAATTTTTTTTATTATGCTAGTAATGGCGGCGATCAGCGATTTTTAGCGGGACTGCGGCGGACATTCTGACGCTGGGGGGGGGGACTGACTTGGTGTCACTGACATCCCCAGTAACACCAATACAGTGATCAGTGCTAATAAAAAGCATTGACTCTGTACTAATGGCACTGGGCAGGAAGGGGTTAACATCTGGGGCGATCAAATGGTTAACTGTGTGCTGTGTGTTTTACTGTGTCAGCACATTGCTTTGTATTGCTCTGCTATGCAGAGCAATACAACGCAGTATGTAGGAGGTGAGAGGGGAGAGATCTGTATTGATTACATACAGGTCTCTCTCCCTTCAGCGATCGCTGGGAGGCAGCGGGGAATCACCGGCATGGACCCGGTGACCAACAGCTGATGGTGGTGTGGTTAATCCTACCCGGAGATGCAAAATCACGTATACTATGCTGTACGTGATTTAGCGCAGCCCTGCAGCAGTATTTCTGCTATAGGGTGGCGGGAAAGCGGTTAAAGTGAATCTAACTCCCCTAAAAATATAATATAGCAGCTTACCAATCCTTAGATGTGGTAGCTGCATTAGTTTTCTTTTCTCAGGCTTTTTTCTCCTCTGTTTTCTATTTTTACCTGGTTATCCAGGTAATTCTTGACCCTTCATAGTTACACTAATTTTTTCCATTATATCTATATAGGAAGGCATGGCTTTCACATAGGGTTCTGTGTGAGTACAAGCAGCACATATACACTTGTATACACTACACTTGTTAGGCAAATTTAACCTATTAATTTCCCTGTCACACAGCCATTGTCATTAGTGCAGTGACAGTGTACAGCATTATCACTGATCACTGTATTAGTGTCCCTCCCAGTCAGTGTCAGTTAGCACCAGATTACCCACCACACTTTCACATCCACACAAGTCGCTGATCACCGCCATTACTTGTATCAGGCCTGATCTCTGCTAGCACTAGCAGTTCATTTTATTTCTAGCGCACAAAAAGTCCATGATTGCTAGCCAGGAGCCCTTTTTTCCATAATCGCCACTAGGTACCTGTAAAGTTAGTGCCCAAAACGTGCAAAATAAAGTACATTAGTGAAGAGGCCTACATGATTCTGAGCATGACACATGAGAACGAATGGGAGGCCTTCACTGTCAGTGTCAAGTTTAGAATATGAAACTGTAGAAATCAGTGGCACCCCGACAGCTAGCTTGGACGATAGTGAAGAGGTCTCTGCTAAAATCGGGCGTACCCAACCCCATGTTGCTGATGTGCTAGAAATAGGTCATTATGCTCCTATGCAGCAGGGTGCAAGTATTACTGCTGCACTACTTTTTGGTGATCTGGCAAGCACCAGTGGCATAGTACATCCTGATTTTTTAGACACCAACACTGCAGTAGCCCATGGTGAAGTGGTGGGTGCCAACAGTGCAGTACAAGCTGGTGATGTGGCTATCACACGTAGCGTAATGCAACCACAGCCACCAAGATACTGAGCACAGGTCCACAGACCCATAGTAGCCTTTCAGGAGTGCTTGCAAACCCTAATGGCTGCCCACAGATTCAGCAGCACCTGTTATCCCCCCATTCACAGCCCAGCCTTGTGGAAACAGCCAGTTTAACTACACCCCTTGACTTTTTACCTGCTTTTAAACCGAAGACCTCTATAATTTGATTGGGCACCAAAGTAATGTTTATGCCCTGCAGTACATCTAACACAAATTCAATCTTTACCCTCTTGCCATGCCATTCGAATGGAAACCTATCATTGTTCCTGAATGTAAAACTTTTTTGGGTTAAGCCTTAACATTGACATTAGAAAAAAAAATGAATTGCAGTCACATTGGTCCCCAGACATGAATTCTCATATGCCCATGACTGGTACTACAATGGCCAGGAAAAAACAATAATGCATTTTAAGCTTTCAGTAATAATACACTCTGTTGTCCTTCGGGTGACCCTGACTATGATCAGCTCCACAAAATTTGGCCCCTAAAAAATAACCTGTCCAAGAAATCTGCAGATGTGTATCCGACCCAACAAAACATCTGCATAGATGTGTCCCTTGAACATTTTACTTGCAGGCTTGCAATCGAGCAATATCTCCCCAGCAAGTGTATGAAGTCAAAATGTATAAGCTTTGTGCGAGGGCCACAGGCTATACATACAACTTTAGAATTTATGAGGGAAAAGACAGTCAAGTAGAGCCAGGAAAACATGGGGAACAGTGTTAAGTAGTGTGGGACTTGTCATCACCCTTGTTCCATATAGGGTACCATTTGTACATGGACAACTTTTAAGCAAGCATGCCACTTTTTAGATGTTTGATCCTTAAAAAAATTGGCTGCTGTGGCACCATGCAAACTAATCGCATGGGCTTCCCCCAATGGCTCATTAACACCCCACTTAGAAAGGGGGAGAAAGCCTGCATGGAGAATAAAGAACTGGAGCGACAAGCTCGATGTATTCATTCTGTCTTTCATTCACCCAGACATGACGGTCCACATTCTCATGGTGACTGGTTTAGTTGAATATCCTCTCTACGATCACAACTTTAATTTAAATAAGGGAGGTGTAGACTTCAGCGACCAAATGATGAAACCGTATGTAGCCTCCTGCAGAGCTAGACACTGGTACAAAGAGTGTCTATATACAGTATTTATTTCAATTGGCTCTATACAATGCATTTGTTATTTACAAAGCTACTGGAAGAACTGGATCCTTCCTAAAATTTCAGGAAGCGATCATCTCAGCACTTTTGTATCCAGAAGGCATTTTCCAGATGTCCTTCCAACAAAACAGTCACCCCATAAAAGATATCTTTGGTAAATGAGGTTTTTTTTGTTCCTCCTGTCCTGGCCAACCTGGCCTCTGCATCAAGGATTGCTTCGATCACTATCACACTTTAGTGAACTATTAGTCTAGGGTACAGCACAGGACAATATTCACAATTCTGCACAAGAAGGGTATCTAAAGATGTTAGGTAATCAGGGAACTATCACATTTTGGGAGACCCTAAAATCAAAGACTGAAAAGGTTATTGTTCTGAAATGCTAAGCTACAAAAAAAAGTTAGAAATAATTTTTTTTTTTAAAGTGAAAAAAAAGTTGTTGTTTTATTGAGTTACTGTTACATTGAGTCACTGTGTGTTATTTTTAACTGTTGTTGTTTGCTTTGTAGGAACACCAATCAGTTGCAGCAGTGATCTGTGTATTCTGACAGCAGCAGGGTGCTGCTTTCAGAGAACATATGTCAGTACTTGTAGTGTGGAAGGGGGGATTTTATCATCCACAGTTTAAAAAAAGAATGTGTATGCCCAGCATTAGGAGCATGTGGTGGTCAGCAGGCGGTAGCTGCATATACTTTTTTCACTTTATTTCTGGCAGAGATCAATGTCAATTGAGGAATCTGTTATAGTGGAGCTCCACTCAAAAGAGGAAATTCTGCTTTAAGGCCTTCTCCCACTTTTGACAGGCACCTGCTCCCATTTCCACTCGGATCGCTGGGGCGATCCGAGCGGAAGTCCCACCTCCCCGCAGTCATCCGGGACACAGGTCCCAGAAGACTGCAGGACCATTCACAATGCACAGCATGGCTCGTGCATGTCCAATGGGCACTTGCCTGGGAAGCCGGGTGTCCAGAGTTGAGGTGCCAGCGCTGGAGAGAGAAGACTGAGGGAGGGGATGAGCACATCGCTGGATCCTGGGACAGGTGAGTGTGTTTTTTTTTAAAAGTCAGCAGCTACAGTTTTGACTGGAGCTCCTCTTTAAGTTCATGTATGCCCAGCATTAGGAGTCTGGGGTGGTGAGCGGGGATGTAGCTCCTATACTTTTTTCACATATTTCTGCAAGAGATTTCATCATCCACATCGATCAATGTGAATGGAGGAATCTCTTGCATTCTTTTTCTTCATTTAGTCCACAAGCTGAACGAAAAAAAAAAAAAATTACGTGTATGATCAGTATTAGGAGTGCAGTGGAATCTCCCAATGTTGGCCATACACATAATGTTTTTAGAGATCTTAAAATGCCAGGGCAGTTAAAACCACCCCCAAACGACCCCTTTTTGGAAAGTAGACACCCCAAGGTATTTGCTGAGAGGCATGTTGAATCCATTTAAGGTTTTATTTTTTTGCCACAAGTTATTTGATAATGACAAAAAAAAAAATTCTCACAAAGTTGTCACTTTTATGAGATATTTCTCATGCATGCCATGAGTATATGTAGAATTACACCCCAAAACACATTCTGCTACTTCTCCCAAGTATGGGGTTACCACATGTGAGAGACCTTTTGAGAGCCTAGCAATGTAGGGGGCCCAAAATTCAATGACCACCTTCAGGCTTTCAAATGGTGTTAAAATATAACTAAAGGAAACACTTTTTTTTAGTTTTGTAAACAGTGGAGATGGATTAGAACACATATTTATCTTTTATTGTGTTCTGTGCCCCTGTTAGGAAGATTCACCCTCTCTATCTGTTCTGTTTACCTATCGAAAATGAAAATAAAGAAGTTTGGGTTGTTCCCAGAAAAAAATAGAGGGGACATTTTCCAATGGGGACACTAGTTCTGGTGACCTGGGGGTCCCCAAAGAATTCCCATAATTTGCGGTGATTATCTTTCACTTCACTTTTGGCTATGGGACAGGAGGTTAAGGCAAATCTCTCAAAAGGGACTACAATGGCAAAAAATACATTGATGGAGGTTATAACCCTCCCTTACTCTATCCAAAATGAAAAAATAAAAGTTTTGCCTATAGTTCTACCTTAATTATGCAAAGGATTTCTTGAATACTATCACATTTTTGAAGGCCCTAAAATGCCAGGACAGTTCAAACTCCCCCCAAAAGACCCCTTTTTGGAAAGTAGACACCCTAAGATATTTTCTGAAAGGCATGTTGAGTCTTTGGAAGATCTTATGCTTTTTGCCACAAGTATTTGGAAAATATTTTTTTTTTACAGAGTTGTCACTTTACTGAGATTTTTCTCACACATGTCATGGGTATATGTGGAATTACATACCAAAACACATTCTGCTACTTCTCAGGAGTATGAGGATAGAACATGTATGAGACTTTTTTGGGAGCCTAGCCTTGTATGAGCATTTGGCTTTTAAATGGCATAGCTCACACACTTGATTTTCTGACTATCTATCACAGTTTTGGAAGCTCTAAAATGCCAGGATAGTACAAACGCCCTCCAAAAGTCCCCTTTTGGAAAGTTGATACCCCAAGGCAGGGGCGGACTGACAACTCATGGGGCCCCTGTGCCCTTGCCCAAGCTCAAAAAAGCCTATGAAAAAGGTACCAGGGGCATCTCATGGGGCCCCCTACTGACCCCGGGCCCTCGGGCAGTGTCCGAGTTTCCAAATGGTCAGTCCGCCCCTGCCCCAAGGTATTTGTTAAGAGGCATGGTGAGTATTTTGTAAATCTCATTTTTCATCACAGCGCTGAATAATAAAAAATGCCCTGGTCATAAAGGGGGTAAAACCTCCCAGAAAGTGGATATAAATACATAAACAAAACATGGCCCCAATGTAAATCCATCATCAAACAAGATGAAAACTGGCCACAACTCACACAAAAGAAACCCAACACCCCCCAAGCACATCTTATCCTGTCACTTCTCTATTGCGGAATAACAGCCGCTTCCCCCCACCGTTAAGTAAACATGGGGGCAGGGTCACCCGGGGAGCAATTGGGTGACCCCACCCCAAGACATTATAGGGGGCAAATGCTGAGAGCAGGGATGACTTATTATTGTTAGGATGCCAGTGAGTGCCAGCTGAGCTGGCTCAATATATTCCATTGGGAAGCTGGTGGGTGCTTAAAACACCAAAGCTCAAAAATGCACATAAAAACATCTGAGAAATCAATAAAAAATTTTTTACATTTATCTATGAATGCAGCCTTAGAGGTATAAGAACTTAATATCGCTTTTGATCAGCCTAGCCTTGTAAATGCTCCTCCAGGATTTCTTCAGGTGACCCAGTTTCCTACCCAAAAAACATTCTGACAGTGCTTTCCACTGAAATTGTTCCATTCCTGTATATGACTCTTGTAAGCTCTTTCAGACACAGAAACCTATGTTGCTCATTCTATGTTCTTTGTAACTTACTGTGGAGCCAACACTACTCAAATTAATAAGTCGAATAAATACATATAGAAAAGCTGCAATTCCAATGTTATTTCTGTAAATTAAAAAAAACCTTGTGTTGTTTTTCAGCAGCATTTTCCCTAAAAATGTGCACAGGAACTGAAATGTCAAATAAATATAATCACAAATCAAAACGCTCTTTAAATGCTGTAATGTAGTTCTAGTAAAACATCATTTTTGGCATTCACTAATGTCTTAACAACATGAATTATATTTAATGTTTTAACTTACGTTTTACGGCGTCAATGCTGTGTAGACAGAGCACACCTATCATCAATACGCATCCCAGGTACACAATATTCCTTGCAGACATTTTGTTACTCTTGTAGGAAAGACAGCTTCAGCAGGATTCTCAGTGTCTGCAATTCACAAGTTTGAGCCACAGAAACTCTACCCAAGTGATAAAACGAACTTGTTCTGTTTTTCAGCCAATAGGAATTTATGTTGCTTATTACGTAATAGTTGCTGGGTAGATGGTTTCTGTTCCATGTACATATCAGAGAAGGGTTTCAGCTATTCACATGTGAATTCTTCTGTAGTGAGGTTTAAGTTGCACTTTTCTTTACGCAGACATAAGTAAGGTAATATTTTTAATCAGTGTTCTATGGAACTCTAGGGATTCTTGCTAGGGGTTCCTTGAGCAATGGGCAATTTCTGATTATTTATTATTTATTTTATTTCAGGTACTTATATAGCACTGTCAATTTACGCAGTGCTTTACACATATATATTGTACATTCACATCAGTCCCTAACCCTCAAGGGGTGTACAATCTAAGGTCCCTAACTCACATTCATACATATACATATTAGGGCCAATTTAGACAGGATCCAATTAACCTACCAGCAGGGGCGGACTGACCATTTGGAAACTCGGGCACTGCCCAAGGGCCCGGGGTCAGTAGGGGGCCCCATGAGATGCCCCTGGTACCTTTTTCATAGGCTTTTTTGAGTTTGGGCAAGGACACAGGGGCCCCATGATCCCCTATTGCCCGGGGGCCCCATGAGTTGTCAGTCCGTCCCTGTCTACCAGCATGTCTTCACCACTTGCCTGGAGTTTGCATGTTCTCCCTGTGCCTGCGTGGGTTTCCTCCGGGTACTCCGGTTTCCTCCCACACTCCAAAGACATGCTGGTAGGTTAATTGGCTCCTGTCTAAATTGGCCCTAATATGTGTATGTATGAATGTAAGTTAGGAACCTTAGATTGTACGCCCCTTGAGGGTTAGGGACTGATGTGAATGTACAATATATATGTGTAAAGCACTGCATAAATTGACAGTGCTATATAAGTACCTGAAATAAATAAATAAATGTCTTTGGAGTGTGGGAGGAAACTGGAGTACCCAGAGAAAACCCACGCAGGCACAGGGAGAACATGCAAACTCCAGGCAGGTGGCACCGTGGTTGGGCTTCGAACCAATGACACTAGTACTTCCAGGCGGAAGTGCTGATTATTATATAAACTATCACTGACACCAATGATCATTTCCGGTGTCTGTAATAGGGCATTCTTACTCCCATTGACTACCAATTTAAGGAGTATTCTGCCCAATAAACATAAATGTAAGTAACATTATTCCCAATTTTTCTTTATTAAAAATTATTGCAAACAGTAAACATAAAATACACATAAACAAACATATATATATATATATATTGCCAAAATAATTGTGCCAGCCCTCAAAATCATTGGTTCCAGGTGCTCCAATCCACCCCATGGCCACAGGTGTATAAAATCATCATCTAGGCATG